GTGTGTGTGTGTGTGTGAGGCAGGGGGTAAAGGAAAGGGGAGAACAGTGTCTTTGATGAAAAGCGCCCCGGGACGGACAAGGCGAGGGCAAGGTGTGAGTAGAAGCGGGTGTCTGTGCGCGCCTCGAGGACAGAAATAGGTGCACACGCTCAAACACTTGCGAGAATGAAGTGCAGCGACAGTAACGCGAAAACAAGGGCACAAAGTACTTTGAAACTTCAGAGTGAAACTATCAAAGCAGAGTTTTCTGTTCTGAGATTCCTTGCGCGCCCCCTTTTCATTTACGCTGCGTATGTCTCTGACGTACGTCAGGGTGTGTATTGTGCATCTGGCCCAAAACTTTTTTGTACGATTTCGCGTTTCTTGTCATTTCCTCGAATTTTTCCTCCCTCCTAACCCCCTTTCTCTTTCTTTCTCTCTCGCACCCCCTCTCTCTTTCAGTTCTATGTGGTCCAGCACGGAACTGTGTCCATCATCACTGCCCCTCCTCCCCCCTCCCCTTCTTTTTCTCCCTCTGACAGACTGGGTGAGGCGATCGCTATGTAAATACAGCGTATATAATAGACCTCGTGGGAGGGGTGGGGGAGGGGCGGGGAGGGGTGGTGGATAAGGCTTATCAGTCGTGCCAAGTAAAGAAAGGCCGCGCGCCCACACGCCGCGCCACACCGCGTCTACAAATACCGCGCGATCAATAATGTGATTATCAGCGGCCAGGATTAGCAGCCCCTTCTGGCAGGGAAACACAATTTTCCACGTCTCAGGAAAAACACGTGCCGTATAAATATACTTACTTCAGACGGCGACTAGTAAATAAACCACATTGTCCTGAAAAAATAATACATTAGTTCCTCAGACAATACGGCAATTATTGTTTCGTTGAAGACAAATGTACCTGTGAATTCCATCGTATTTATTCGATCGAAAAATACTTTACCTTGCAACCGCTGTCCAGTTGGCGCTGATACCCGCGGGCTGGTGTGCCTCCCTCGATACCCCCCGCACGGTGGGCGGCAGAGCGGCACGGCACGGAGTATCTGCGGGACATACCGACATACTATAGGTGAACGGGGAGCTCTCAAGTAAAACGAAAACGTACACTGAAAAAACATGCCGGTTGAGTCAACCCGTAACTCGGTTCCCCCAACCGAGTCGCGCGGTTAATTTCCGACCCACTAGAAACTCGGTTGGGAGAACCCACACTGTGGGTTGTACTCGTCTGGTTACAGTGACCGCGCAGAGATAGTTGTGACAACCAAGTCTGAACGGTCCAAAAAGAAAATAGAAATCGACTAGCGTTACCGCCAGGATACCCCCACCTCTCCCTCCGACAGGCACCTCACAGAGACCGTTTCGCTCTGGCGCCGTCCGGGACTTGAACCCCGGACTTTGCCATTACTGGGCCTCCGCGATACCCCCAAGCCATCGCGGCGCGTGGGAGGGAGGAGGCAGGACAACGAACACATGTCGCAGCGGGCGGGGCCCCGGAGCAGCCGGCGGCGGCAGCGCGCCGAGAGGAGGCAGGTACGGGAGGGGAGGGGGGACGACCCTGGGCCAGCCGGGGTCGGCACTGCATCCCAGTTCGTAGTTCACAGAACCGAAAGCTTCGACTGCGCGACTGGGTCCAGAGTACCCACACGAGTCAGTTCCACTATCTGCCACTTGGTCTCACTAACCAGACTGAGTGTTTCTCCCAACTAGACACCCTCAACCGGCAAATGTGCCGGTTACCCCAACTATGCACTTTTTTCAGTGTACTTGAGTCCTTCGGCCCTTTGCCATCGCATCATCCATCATACTGACGTCACAATCAGAGCCCAACGTTTGGGCTCCGCGGAAACCAGCCGGCCAGTAGTGACCTGGTAGACACACATTCAAACTTGCTTGTGCCTGCACGCCTGCAGGCAAGCTGTTCCTTGTGTGTACTACATGGTCGACTGTTGGGTTTACAGAAAATTCTTGAAAATATCTTCAGTTTGCACACCAATTAACGTTTTAGACTTCACAATATGTCTAATTATGGCACACTTAAACTTAGACATCAATTGACGTGAAAAATTAAACCCTTCTTGTGATGCAGCTGTGCGGTGTGGTGTTTCAGCACTTGGGGTTTGCTGGGACCGGCATACATAAAAAATACTGTTCATTATCAAAGATATTTTTTACAGTGATCCTCGCTAGGCTGGCCGCAATTAACGCTCTGGCAGTTAACATCGTTACCGTACAGTGCGCTCCCCGCCATCGGATATATAGAGACGTTAAACGGAATTTGTCATCGCCGGGAAGTGGGCGGGGCGTGCAGATCGTCCCTTTACGACTCATCCTGGACAACTGGACCAGACCCTTTATAATAATGTTTTATATAAAAGTAATAAGAGCGGATGGGCGGGCGGGATTGGAAGCCGACTCCAGTATGAAGTAAACTGCCAACGATGTCAAAACAAAATTTGGAGTACATTTATTTTGTTCTTTGTTTTACCACAAAATACTTTTATGAGAGCAATTTCACTCTGCAAATCAAACTGTCGTAAAAACAAGATGACACTTTTGGCTGCAAAACTAAAGTCTGGCAGTGTTGAAACTACAAAGTATTACAGTTGAAGTTGCTAAGTAGTTCTAGAGCTTACACAGCACAACTGCATCGGGCCACTTTGGCAGTTTAAAACTGTATAGTTTTGCAGTTTAAAATGAAGAACTGATAGGTTTTTGTATTTTGCCTTAAAAGAAGAAAATGTTACGTTTACCGCCGCCAAGACCCTTCAAATAACGAAGTTCTTTCTCCAGTCTTCATATTATGGGCCAAAGTTCATTTTTTTTCCCATCCTCCCCCTCCGCTTTCCTTAATCTTTTTTTAAGGCGCCAACGCGGGACGGCCGGCTGACCGGGCGGGCCAGACGGGCGCAGGCGAGCTTGAAATACGAAGCAGTCAGTGTTTTAGCGTATCGGCAAAGAGCACATAAAGCACGGTCGATTCACCACGGGATTTGGTCACGCTGCGCCGCGCGGTGCGCACCCTCCCTGCTTGGATCGTACCCCCCCCCCCCCCCC